TAGAGCACGGAAAAAAAGAAAATTGTCATTATCAACAAAAAATTTTCAGGAAACTTCATTGTCCTAACTATGCAACGGTTAAATTGCTGACTTCGATAATCAAATCCACTGACACCTTCGCATTTAACATTAGATACGGCCGGAAATCCTTCTCTTCTAGAAGGTAGCAAGACATTCAGGAAAAACTGTCAGTAATTTGCACTAGCAATTTCCATAAATAAAAAAATAATAAATAAGTGTAGAGAATTAAGATATTCACCTGCTGCATTTTCTGTTGTAAAAGCATGCATAATGGAGTGTGCTACGCCAACTGTATTTTCTGTTGTAACAGCCAATTGTTTTGTTATTTTCGTTATCCATTTTTGGTGCTCCTTTTACTTTTTTTCTCTTCGACCTTCTTCTTAGATATATATAAGTAGCAATAGCCTTCTTGTATGGGGTGTAAAAAAATTATATATTTTAAATAGGAAAGTTTCTTGGTTCGACAGCTTACTTTGTTCATGGTATCAGAGCGCAAACGATCCAAATTGAGAGAAAACAAATAATTTTTAAGCATGGAGGGAATTATTAGCGTTGCAGAGACTGTGACAGGAAGTGTTCAAGGAGCTAGGCATAACAACGAAAATCCATTACTTCTTCAATCATCTGATCATCCAGGCATGATTCTTGTTTCCACTCCATTAAATGGGAACAACTATCTAGCTTGGAGTCGTTCCGTGAAGATAGCTATAGGAGCCAAGATGAAGCTGGGCTTCATAGATGGAAAATGTGCAATGTCAAAAGAAAGATAAGAGAATTTTGAAAAATGAAATAAATTGAACTGTATGGTAGAGTCGTGGATACTAAATTCCATTGCCAAGGACATTGTAGATGCATGCTTGTATATTGCATCTACAAAGGAACTTTGGCAGGAATTAGAGAGACTTGGAGAATGCAATGGTCCGTTAGTATACCACTTGCAAAGGGAGATTTCTTCCATTTCTCAAGGGAACCAAACAGTGGTTCAGTACTACACAAAGCTTAAGAAGTTATGGGATGAGCTGCAATGCTTGCAACCAGTTCTACAATGCAGCTGTTGAGCAGCTAAGCAGGTAATAAACTATAACTCTTCAAGCAAGTTGATGCAATTTTAATACTCTGAATGATGGATATAATAACATAAGAAATCAGATCTTGGTAATAAAACCATTACTTTCTGTGAACAAAGATTATTCAATGATTTTGAGAGTTGAAAAGCAAAAAGAAGTTAAAAATGTATACACAGATACCCTGGATAATATTGCTATGATAACAGTTAATAACAAAAAAACATGTCATGATGCAAAGAATTATCGCAAGGATAGAGGTGGAGCTAAGAAGACTGATAAATCTAATTTACATTGTCCACATTACAACTTTACTGAACACACCAAGGAAACATGTTTTAAGATCCATGGCATTCCTGATTCGTACAAAGACCTCATGAAAACTAAAGGGAAACAAGGTTTTAAACAGATGGTATATATGGCAGACATGGATACTGAGATCAATACTGACAAGGAATGAACAATTTCAGCAGAGATAAACAACTAGATTTAGGAACTGATTCAACAAGAAATGAGTAAATTTATTAAAGGGAAAGATATCACAGAGGGAGGTCTTGCTAACATGTCTCATTTCCAAGATTTTGCAGGTATAACTTCACACCATTTTGCTTTTAATATACTTGATCTATTGGAACCTGATAGCTGTATTGTGGATACAGGTTCCTCAAATCATATGTATAGTGATCTAAAACTCATTCAAAGACCAAATTCAGTCAAAGCTATTACTCTTGTTTTCTTACCTGATGGTTTAGTCAATATGGTGCATAATGTAGGAGATGTACATTTCTCTCCCAATCTTATTTTAACTTCCACTTTGCATATACCAGTTTTCCAATATAATCTACTATCAGTAAATAAAATTTCAGAAACCTTTTTGATTAAATTTGTTTTCTCTCTTAACTATTGCTTGTTGCAATGCCTACAGAATGAGAAAATCCTAGTTGTTGGAAGGGTGGTTGGGCGACTTTACATTTTGGATTCAAGGAGCATTAGTTCTGAGTTGATTGGTTATCACACAAATTTGTTAAAACAAAATAGCAATACTGTCAATTTAGTTCATTCTCTCCGCTGCACTTATATTGATTCCAACAACAAAAAAAAAATCAATTCAGTCCTTATCTCTTTGGTATAAAAGACTAGGACATACTTCCTCTTTAGCTTTGTCTCACTTACATTTTTTAAAAAATAAACATGTTTCCCTCACTCCTTGTAACATTTGCCAAATAGCTAAGTAACAGAGAACATCATTTCCACTCAGTCATATTAAAACCACCAAAAATTTTCAATTAGTACATGTGGATCTTTGTGGACCTTATAACCAAAAATCTTTGACATAAACATATTTTTTTCTCACCGTTGATGATTTCAGTCGTTCAACATGAACATATTTGTTAGCACAAAAATCTCATACTACTCAAGTTTTAAAATATTTTTTTCAATTCATTGAAATACAATTTAGCACATGGATATCTGTTTTCTGATCTACATCACTAGCAGATACTCTATGCAAATCATCCGTGCAAGTCATCAACTGCATCGCATTTCGGTTCTCCATCCCTCTGAAACTTTTCTGCATGCTTTACAGAAAAGTTCTCTGATATTTTCCTATGATTCACCTAATTTTTTTAGCAAAGACAGAAAGGAATCTATACCGTAGTTCTGGATGTTAGGGATGATTGAACAAATAATGAAAACGAATTAAGCAGAGCTCCGTTGTTTTTAAATAAATATATAAGTGCCATGAATCACAAGTAATTCCTAGTTAAAAGATGTTAAAAGATGAGGTGAAAGAAAACAGTCTAGTTAAAGGCTAACTAGATCAACAGTGACTACAACAGCGTAAACAGAAGCCAAAGTGATTCGAAACAGAAACACCACACCTGCAATTGAGTAGCAGAAATCTTGTGAAAGGAAACACCGACTTCATTCGCAATGGCATGAGCCAGTGTGGTCTTGCCGCAGCCATATCAGATAGTCCGGCAGCAAAATCCTCGTCTATGGCCTCGACGCAGCCCCTAAAGCGACTGGATATTATGTGCGGAAGTAAAACTTGCATATTCAGCTCATCGTCATCTTGATCATCAGTCACCAACACCAATCCTCGATCAAAGGATTTTCTCAACGCGTCGATTCAACGTAGTGCTTGACACGAGCGTAATCGGAAAATATCGAGCAGGAATACTCCATTTCGTCGGATGTTGAGTCCTCGTGCTTGCAGCAAAGCATTCGAGCACTTAAAATTTTGAGGCTAACTACAGAAGAATATGATCTCCCATGGCCGCCGTGTTCCTTGTCCATCTCTCCTCTCCTCTCCTCTCCGTAGGTTGTGTATATTTGGTTGAAAGATAAACCATCCCCAAATCGCTTTTCCCGCTGAAACGAAAATGAATCATTTTGAATCCCAATGCCGATCCCTTTCTGTTCCCGCCCCTTATATATGCTGGTTAAAATTATTATTTTAATATCTCATTTTAAAAATTAAAAAAAAAAACACATTTTTTTATACTAAATTAGTATTTTAATATCTCAATTTTAATTATTAAATATAAAAAGTATTTTTTATTATAATTTATTTCTCCTAATCCAAAATCGAAGGACGAGGCCCCACCAAAATTATTTCAGATTATTTTTTGAATACCATAATGTAAAAATAACATTTTTATATTAAATTTAAAATAATAATTTTACTATTATAATAAAAAAATTTATCATGTCATGAAATGTGGAGAACTGGATCGTCCTTAGCCCATTTCCGTTTGGTACTCTTTTTCCCATTCATTGGCCCTCTTTCGTTAATTTAATTTAGTAAATATATGAAATAAGTAAAATGTAAACGGTAAAATAAACTGATTCAAATGACGAAATTTGATATTTTATTTTCTAATTTTTATATAATTTATAATTATAATACTTTTAAATATTTAATAAAATATTTATATGTTTATATAAATTAATTAATTAATATTATAAACATTTATATTTAATTTATAATGATAACTAACAAACGACTTCTCCAAGAGGGGACATTCTTCAATTCGCAGATTTCCTGCAAGACTCGAGCTCGCCGATGAGATTGACAGCATCATTCCACGACGACCCACCTTCTTCAACAGCTCTCTTGGCCTTCTCCGCGAGCTCCCCGGCCCTCGTCCTCATCCCAACCGCCTTCTCTCCACCATCCATTAGCCTCTCCACTGCCGCCTTCACCTTCTCCCGTCCGACAACTGTCCGCGGTTCTGTGTCCCACGAAAGCCATTCTAAGTTCCCCACCTTCACTCCAGTCCTCAGCACGTCAGTTATCAGCTTCTCGTTCATGAACTGCTCCGCCGTGATCGGCCACGTGATCATTGGCACTCCGGCACAAACTCCCTCCAGTGTCGAGTTCCACCCGCAATGAGTCATGAATCCGCCGACCGATTCGTGTTCTAAGATCAACAGCTGCGGCGCCCATCCTCGTATTATTAACCCCTTATTGGATTCTTTCATTTTCTCTTCGAATCCGGCGGGAAAAAAGTTCTCTTCATCGTTGTTTTCTTTTCCGGCGGATTTGAAGATTTTGCCGACCACCCAGATGAAAGGGTGGTCCGAAGCCTCGAGCCCGTGAGCGAGTTCGGTGAGTTGATCGAGAGCTAAGCGAGCTAAGCTACCGAAACTTATGTAAAGAACCGAGTTGAGTGATTTTCCATCGAGCCAGCTGAGAATTGTTTGTTCGTCGGTTGAAGTTTTTTTCCCTCTCTCTGTTTTATCGGCGACGGTTCTGTTGTTTACAGAAACCGGGCCAACAAGCCATGTTTTCTTATTCGTTTCTCTCTTCAAATGGTCCGCATATTCAAGCTCTAGCTCGTGGAAACTATTAACCAAAACCCCAAAACTCTTCTCCTCTGGTTTTCCTATTTGGCCTCCTGGCTTTTTCCTAAACACCGGAAGTTGAGATCTTGTCAACACGATCGGGTCCGGTAGACCCGGAACCACAAAAGGCTTGAAATCCGAACCCACTTCCTCCTGTGGCTTGTACTTGCTCAGACTCTCAATCACGCAGCGAGCGAAGCAACTGCTGCCATTAAACACGATTCTCGGGATTCCAAGATCATCGATAGCCTCGGGTGCCCACCGATGGAACATATCGTGGACAATGCAGTCGGGTCTGGTTTGTCGTAGCAGGTTAGTCAAGGGTTCTTGGAGCATGGAGGTGTCGGTTTGGGGGGAGGCGGACATGTCGACGTCGGATATGTCTAGGTCGCCGGGTAATTGGAGGGTGTGGATGGAGATTGGGCAGCCGGAGTTTTGGTCACGGCGGATGGAGCTTTCAAAGGAGAGTGCGTGGTTTGGGGTGGCGATGATGGTGGCTTTTACGCCATGGGAGGCGAATGTTCTGGCCATGTCTATCATGGGGATTTGGTGGCCGCCTCCGACGAAGGGGAAGAAGAAGATTTCAACCGGAGCTGGGTTTAATTCCATGAGACTGTACTAGACTAGACCTCTAGAGCTTCTTTTGTGGGTGGAGGAGGAGGGAAATGGGACTGTGATATATAGTTAGAATAGTGAGTGTGGAGACAAATGATTGAAGAGTCGAGAAGCCAAAATTGAATTACTTTAGAGATGACTGACTAGGGGAATGTAATTAACCTCGAAAAGGACAAAATAGCTTGCGTATGCAGATATGTCATCATTTAAAAAGATTCTATTACTGAATGCAGCATGCCTTCAAGTAATGTTTTAACATTATGCTAAATCAAGCATTACAACAAGTTGTTTAGGCGTCGATTAAGGTTTAAACTCAGTAATTTTTAAACAAGATGCAAAATCTTAATTATTAAACCACAGGAAGTGATCAACCAACGTACAGTATTAATTTATTTCTGCACATGGTAGTAAGAGATGCATACACATGGATGCAGTACATATTTCTTCAGATGCTAGTAAGGCAGCTTTGAGTAATGGAAGTGAAAGGCTGAGAAGATACTGAAAATTACTGATAAAGATTGGAAAGCTAGTTAATACAATAATACTCAGCATAATATTACTGCAGGATTAAATCTTATCCTAGCTAACATTTTATCTTAACTTACTAGTTCAAGTATAAGATTTTACATAGGCAAGCAAGCTACGTGTATAACATGAACTGCTCGGGGAAGAAATCAACAGAGCACTTCCCTCAGTGTAGTCCATGGTATGTGTGACAGCAAATAATTTACCTGGGACAAAAAATAGAACTGGGTTGCAGTGCAAAAAGAATTGCATCATCAACATGATTCCGAGCTTATGAATCTTCTTCTTCTTCTTCTTCTTGTTTTGTAATTCAGGTATTAGGCCGACCTTTCATCTGCAGAGCAGCCCTGACAATGTTTCCCCTCGTGATGATTCCAACCTTTGGGATTGAAAACAGAGACCAGTTAAAAACCATCCACTGCTGATCAGCAAAGCATCCAGCAAAAGAAATTTAGCAAGATGAAGACTTTTACCAGTTTACCATCACTATCCACCACTGGTAGTCGACGGTATTTTGTTTCCAGCAACAATCTGACATTGGAGGATTCAGTAGATTAAAATTATAACCCAATTTCTATTTGGAAACAAATCACGTACAAAACTTAAGATGCACCAAAATAGACGACCAACACATCTTCTAAAATCATCACGAGAAAACTCTACTGCAGATCAGAACAAAATCACTATCTCTACTCCTTGCAACTTTAATATTAAACCATAACCTCCAGTAGCCACTGATACTCTCATACTTAAATACACATCACTGTTGAAGATTGATCCTAATTAGTTCTCTTAATTTCAAACAAAATCTCTTTTAATTACAGATCCAGTGAGAAAGATTCAACAGAATAGATGCAGTGGCAAAAGACAAAAACGATACCGAGCAGCATCTTCTAAATTGGTGGTTTCCATAACAGTCAGCGGAGCAGGCGTCATCAAGTCACCGACAACTTTGCCATTTGTCTTGCTTAGCAATTTCTGTATCTTGTTAAATGCCTGCCATAAGATTCAGGATTAGAAAAGTAGTAACTTGAAATGTCCTGCATAATTCACAGTTAATGAGTAAACTAAAACTGTGCCAGCCACGAGACACACACACACAGATGACTTCAAATTATTGGCTAAACATCTTTTCCAACTTTATCACGTACATGTGACAAAAGTAAGGAGGAGCATCATAAAAACTCCAGAGATTATCAACCATAATTGAATGGCAATATAGAAAGGGGGTTGAGACCAACTTCCATAACCTTACAAGACTATATGAAAGAAAAGCACAACGAGTCAGAGATTCATGTACTTATTCTTGAAATATCAAAGTCTCTAGGACATTTATAGTCATCGAATAGAACCTTAAGACACGTACCATCGCCTAGAATTATCTTAATTGTAGCCATCCAGAATCCATATGAAAGATATTGTTAACAAATATGTAATACGAACAGAGACAAAGTTCAAGATGATGTCAGTTCTTCCTCCAAAAAAAATGCCCAGAATTTTCAGTTCCTTGAATGGTCCATGCCAGAGTAGTGTGTTATTAAAAGATGATTTCCTTCATTTTTATACTCCTACATGGAGGCTCCATCACCTGACTTTTGTAAATTTGGATAAAGAAGAACGCTAGAGATATCAAAAGAATAAACCTAATGCTACTCCTCTGGGTTTGACAAAACATCCAAAATTCCAGGCAAAGTAAAGAGATTGCATTTCATTTACTCAACATTTCAGGGTGTTTCACGTTCCTCGTTTACTGTATCCAATAAATTATTATGCACAATCATAAATTATCTTAACCACGTACAGGTATGTTTCTAGCACCTAGGCTGCCTAAGCCTCAGATATATGTGTCTGTATGTCTAATTTTGCCTGCATCTTCTATGAAGATTATCTAAAAGTTTATTAGGAACATCAGAAAAACGATAGGCGAGAAAGGGAGAATTTTAGCTCACAGATGAGAGCTACGAACTCACTAATACAACTTCAACAGTAAGTAGGAAAGGAAAAACATTAGCACAGAGTAACCTCTGGTTTAAATTGACTAAGCAGGAAACTAGAAAAGATAGCATTCGTACCTTCCAAGAACTATCAACATCTGGAAACAAGTTTGTGTCACTTTGAGTCCCACCTAATTGCCACATAAATGAATATTAGAAGCAGTTTCAGGGAAAAAAAAAGGACCATAGAAAAGCCAATTATCAAAGAATATTAATAGCTGGCAAAACACAACAATTATAATGATATATCATGTTTAAGGAAATAGAACTTTTGAGTGATGGGATTAAAATTCAATACAAACTCACAAAAACTTAAGGAATTGCCTAGTCCTTTTCAATATTTCCATGAAATTCTGTTTCAGTCATAACCTCTATATTCTCCAGATATTTCTATGCTTTGTAGTGTCAAACTATTGATATCTATCTACACCATTCTGAATTATAGAACAAAAGGGCCTGATAAACTAAAAGAACAATCAATTATTATTTAGTCCAAGCACAAGAGTAGTGTCTTCTACAATATTTTATACCAATAAATTTGTTCCTTGAAAACCAGGGTTTAAAGCAGAAGAAGCATTCCTGAAATATATCTGACCTAAGAGTTCAAGTCTGAGCTAATAATTTTTACAATACCTGATATGGAGTCCAATGCTAGCAAGTCATAATCTGAAACAACACCAATCTGCAGCAATTATAAAAAGGTGTCAACTGAAAGATACAAAATGGAACTAATTAAATGTCTTGTAAACTGAGTAATATGTCATATAATTAATTAAAATACTTGACAACTACATGAAATTATCGATTGGAAGTATGGGTGTTTAAAGATCAGGAAATCAGTTAGGGGAATCCTCCCCTCAAAGTATGCGAGAACGAGAGAAAAATTGTTCGATAGGTAAGCAGAGAAACTGGCTAGAAAGAGTAAGAATGAGGGGTTGTTACTCCTTTTAACTATAAGCTGATCAACTGAGAGCTTTGGATTCAGATCATGGATACTGTCCTGTTTTATCTTCCATGAAATTCATCCACATAACACAACCAATATGCCTCCATAATAAGCAAATTTACAGTTCAATCATGACAAACACAGAAGCACAAGCATTCTAACAGCTACATCAACACCCAAATCCTAACATAATTCAAGAATCATGGCCACCAAAACTCACCCATATCCAGTATACATAATCTTAGCCCATAATTCAAAAACAAGTTGTACTACATGGGTTAATCCCAATTTCTCATGCTGATAAAACATAACATGTTGATTGAATATCCAGATGTTCCCCGATCGTAATGTATGTTTCATTTCTTAGAGAAAAAAGCAAAAGCAATTGAAACTTTTACCAATTTCCAGTCGTCATCAATCACTGGAAAACCAGTAACTCTTTTCTCCACCAGAGCCTCCAGTGCTGTAGTTACATTCGTAAAAAACACCATAATATAAATTTCTAACATTATATTACAGAAAATACCAATAATAATAATACTAATAATGATAATAATAATAATAATCTAAAGATACCTTCATCAACAGTTGTCGTCGTTTTAAGAACATAGAGATCCTCCTTCCTCGTCATGAAATCACCAACTGTACAGGACCCGGTAGCCTGAAACGTGAAAACATCGAATCAAACAAGTTAACACACACCAGTATATAAACGATGAAGAAGAAGGAAAGAAGAAAAGAGGACTCACGGGAACGGAGTTGTTGATGTGAGCGTCGACGATAGAGGGGGTGAGGAGAAGGCGGCGGTGAGTTGTAGAATACGAACGACGTCGTTTCGAGAAATGGAAAGCTACGACTGGGCAGCGATGATGGTATGAAGGTACAATGCAGGGTAACTGAGAATGACGAACCGAGTTAAGCCCATTGACTCGGGCTAACATTACTGAGTTAGCCACAGAAACAGAGTCCATGATCAATTCGATTCACAAAAAAAATATGGATCTGTTTATGATTTTTTTACGATGCGCTAGTTTTAGGGT